CAATGCCGCCGAACGAAATTACCAGATTTACGACCGAGAGCTCTTAGCCGTAATACGCGCGCTCAAAATTTGGAGGCATTTCTTGGAAGGAAACCCCCACCTGGTTATTGTCTTCACCGACCATAAGAACCTCCTCTACTTCCGCTCGGCACAGCAATTAACATGTCGCCAAGCCCGATGGCAACTCACTCTTAGTGAATTTGACCTCGCATTCTACCACGTCCCTGGCGCAAAGCTTGCCGCCCCGGATGCTCTTTCATGACGACCAGACCATGTTGTCGGCGATCCCAATAACACCGATGTTACCTTACTCCCCGACTCTCTCTTCGTCCGCCTGGTCGATGGTGTACTTGCACACCAGTTTAAAACCCTGACCGAGTCAGCGCCCGACTCTACTATCCAAACTGCCCTCCAAGCTTTGAGCGGTATCTGTGCCCTGCCCATCAAATCTGCCCTTTCTGATTGGGCATTCACCGATGGAGTGTTATTTTATAAAGACCGGGCCTACGTCCCGGTCGATCTTCACTGGAAGGTCCTCACCCTCCACCATGATCACCTTACTGCGGGCCATCCCGGCTGCACTATCACTGAATGGAATGTGAAGAAATCCTACTGGTGGCCCGGTATGGGCACCTACATCCGAAACTATGTCGCTGGATGCGCCGTCTGCCAACAAATGAAATCCGATACTCACCCCGTCACACCACCCCTGATGCCTATCCCCTTGCTTGCCACCCGCCCTTTCGAGCAAGTCTCCATTGACCTTATCACTGACCTTCCCCCATCCCACGGCTTTGATTCTGTTATGGTCGTGGTCGACCATGGCCTAATGAAGGGGGCAATTCTATGTCCATGCAAGAAATCCATCACCGCAGAAGGCGTTGCCAACCTCTTCTTTAAAAAGGTGTTCACACGCTTCGGCCTCTATGACAAAATCATCTCCGATAGGGGACCACAATTTGCCTCCAAATTTGCCAAAGAATTAGGATGGATTCTAGATTACCAAGTAGCCCTCTCCACAGCCTACCATCCACAGACGGACGGACAAACAGAACGACTCAACCAAGAACTGGAAACTTACCTCAGAATCTATTGCCGCACCACCCCAGCCGAATGGTTGCAACATCTGCCAATGGCCGAATTCGTCCACAACTCAAGGAAACATTCTGCCAGAAATACATCACCCTTCGCCCTGATGATGGGGTATGAACCGAAAAGCTTACCCCAAGCATTCCCCAAAGCTTCGGTACCAGCAGTAGAAGAACGACTGAAATATCTCGGAAAGATCCGAGAAGAAGCACTGGCATGCCACGCCCTTGCTCAACAGTGAATGGGAGAAAGGACGCAGGGAAGAAAGTATACCCCATGGAAGAAAGGGGACAAGGTCTGGCTATCCGTGGCTCATTTATTAACAAAACTCCCATCAAAGAAACTTGCACCGAAAAGATACGGACCATTCACCGTCGAAGAAGTTTTATCACCAATCACATTCAAGATCAAGCTCCCAGAAACCTGGAGAGTTCACTCCACATTCCACACTTCCGAACTATCCTCCTATCACGAAACCAAAGTTCACAGCCCGAACTACGAAGAACCACTACCTGATGTAATCAACGGCGAAGAAGAATACGAGATAGAAGCAATACTTGCCCATAAAGGAATGGGTAATCACCGCCGATACCTTGTATCGTGGAAAGGATATCCCGAATTGGATAACTCCTGGCAAACCGAGTCAGATTTGACTAATTCATCTGACATCCTGACAATGTATAAAAGAAAACTCGCTAACAAAGGAGCGAAGAAAACAACTCTGTAAACCAACATCATGTACAACTCATCAAATGACTCCAACTTCTTCGCCTCCCACCCCCATCTGACACCTGTAAATGAAGACAAAGCCCTCTGGGAGGCACTCATCCTAGACAGCCACTATGCTATAGAAATCGATAACCTCATCACCACCCATAATGACCCCATCCTCTTTGAACTCATTGCAGCATTCAGAACCGCAGATACCCTCACTGCCTGCATCGTCGACATGCAGGAATGTAAATACGGAACATTTGGGACGGTATCCCTATGCTACGCACAAAGCAAAATTAAAAAGGTCGTCATGACACTCCTAGCCATGAAGAAGTTCGGCAAGCTTGTTGACCAGATCAACAATGGCGAGTTTGTAGCGCAACCTACCCCATCCCCCATCCAACCGAGCACCCTCGATGAAGAAAACATCGAACTAGTACCATTCATCCCTGCTGAACCCCGCGCTGAAACCCCAGAACCCCCTGCCGAAGAAGAAGACTTACCGCATCTTATCGCTGAAGAAAGTGAATTTGAAGGAGACTTTTTAGAAGCAGACGGAACTGCCACACCATCCATCATGCATTACTCCCCACCCCCTACTCTGAAAACTCCTGAACAAAAACCATTACACGTCCCCGAACCAACTGGCCGTGCCACTTCCCCTAGCAAACAAAATCGCCATAACCACGGAACCACCATGCTCCTTTCGCTCGGTTTACCATTGTCAGTCAAATACCCCCCCATCTTTCATGGCATAGCGCCCAACATCGAAACAGGAGAACCAGAACGGGTCATGACTACTACCACAGATCACATCCATCATGCCAAATTCGAAGCCACTGAAACAGAGCAGACCCACCCCGCCAACTTCATCTGCTGCTGCTGCAAACGATATGGCCATAAGCATCATCATTGCCATCAGTACTTCTGTCGTATTTGCAGGGTCTTTGCCCCTGGACATTTTACTTCATACTGCCCACGTCTTAACGGACGCACTATTCTTCGCCGCAGTCGTTCCAACCCTAACTTCCACGCACAACTCACACGTCTTGAATGCTTTTATGACACCCACCAGGGTATTATCCCTGACCGCGACGACGAAGACGACCGCAGGCTTGAAGTTAACGAGATCGAAGGTTTAGACGTCGACAATGTTTTCTTGGACGATGCCCGCCTTGACGCATGAAGCCAGGTGACTTCATCCGTAGAATGGGAGGTGATGTTACAGGGACGTTACGTAAGCCCCTCGGACTAGCTTATTCTCTTTTGCCTATCTTTCATTACCACTATCCGTTGCTAAAGCGACTTCCATCTTACCGTTTGCTTGGCTTATCCATACTGGCTGATCATTCTCGCACTGCCTATCTGGCTTATCCGTTATCTCTGACTCATACCCTATGCCCTTACCGCATTGTCAGTATTACCCTTGACCCTTACCGTTCAACCGGTATCTTCTGCTTTTTGTATATAAAGGACTCCGTACACTGTAGTAGTCCTTAACTTGAATCTACTCAGTATCACGCCTAAAGCCTCAGGACAGAGGGATAGCACGAAAGCTAGATAGCAAGCCTCATCGCTTCTATCACTATTACACTATCTTCTACTAGACTTTCCGTCTAGTAGTCTTCTCTCGAAACTCGTCGCAACACTAGATCAGTACTCCTTGCGGGTATCTAGTGCGGAACCAACTGAGTTCGTAACAACACCCAACTTCCCATCTACAGCCTCAGAAATGGGGTTCAGCAAGCGAAGGCTGGACAGAATTGAAGATGACAGTCCTCTCACTGAAGATGAGACAGAGGTGCCTGCTCTGAGTCCACCCAAATGTGCCAGGAATGTTGGTAAGACTACTGCTGCCTCCAAGAAGACTCGCAGCTTGAAGGGCAGAAAGTAATTCTCATTCATGGGTGCGTTCTCTGAGTCTGATTAAACAACATTTCTGCTTTAGACTGATGCACTCCTTAGTAGGGTTCATGTGCACCATTTTTTCCTAGGCAGTGCTGTATGGTATATGCCTTTGATCTCCTCATTTGAAGTTTTTGTATCATTCATACGTTCAGCCCACATCTTGATTCTTTATTTCATACTTTCGGCTGCCATGTATCCACACTCAGAAACTGTACTATCAGAATGATATGTGTTTATATTTTATGATTGGTCTGATCATGCATCAGCAGGATATCAGAGCATAACCAGCATATGATCACACATTCAGCGGTCTGACTGTAGTAGTTGAGCACTGAGCAGCAAACTACTTGTATGATGTCACAATATCTGAATGAAGGCAGTATGGCAGGAGTCCAGGACTTAGATGCAGCCAGCATATGACAGGATGTCTGGCAGATAACTGGTATTGAGCATTAAAACAAGTGATCTTTCGGAGATGTCAATATCTGGATGATTTTGAGCTGTTGGTACCTGACCAACCGGATGCACCTGTTCCTTGGTGCTGCAACTAGCACTTTCCATATCTAAGTAGATCTAGGTTTGGGACTTTTGGTGATGGAGTACTCTACTCTATATGGGAGGACAAACGCCAGCCCTACAACACCTCCTCCAGCCCCAGACTAGGATGATATGCAGTCGCATGCAGCGCATCTCACTCGCCGCGCATGTGGATGTTGAGTCTTGTTACAAGGAGGAGCTCGAGTCCATATTCTGCTGGGAGATCTTCGACCCCTCCGACCGCCCGCAGCTCGAGTCTTACCCCGCTTCATGTTGAAGACGAGGGGTATAGCTCCAAAAGTCTTTGACTGATGTGCTGAGTGGGTGGGTCGTGGGTACCAACAAACGCGTCCCCTCAGTCGCATCAGAGATGCTGGGTTCTCATACGTTGGTAGGAATCGAACAAAGCTTAGGAGATATGGACATTCGTTTGTATGGCGAGAAGTGTCATGCATGGTGTGTGGTGTCGTTTGAACACCTTGACTAATACTTCTTTGGTTTAGCAGATGTCACAAAGGCACTTGAACGTTACCGATTTTCTGAGTGTATCATTGCTCTTGGACCGCAGCTATAGGAGCAGCCTAGGGACGACCTTTGTATACATTCTGGTAGTCTTCATACATATGACGCTCCAAACCCCACTTTAATAAACTGCACGATACACAACATTGAGTGCGCAATACACAACATCGATTGCACAATACACAACGACCAAGTGTGCAATACAACAGCGGAAAGAAATGTAGCTATTTCTAGTAAACTGCACAGCCAAAATCTTCGAATTTGGGCTCGACAATCAGGTATTTTGCAAGATTGTCAGCTGTGCAAGTGATAAGTTTTCGCTTGTGATCGAAGGCACTTTGACCTTTCACAATGAATAATACAGCTTTCCAGCAATCCAGGTTTATCTCGCCAATGTCAAGTTTCTCAAACCGTTCGACGGCATCCTTGTAAGGTTGTGGATTTCGCCCATCCAGCAGAAACCAACCCATTCTATTCCACCACAACTGCTTCCAGTCCTCCTCGCATCTCTTTTGCTTCGTGCAAGTTCCTGTATGTACCATAGGTGGGGCTTCACATGCAATAATCCGACGGTGTACATCCAGACGTTCCTTGACCTTGAACATTGTGTTCCACACAACGGGCCCAACAGCGTGACATTCATCATCGGATATGTCATTGATGCAAGCTGAAACGAGGCGCTCGAAAGCATGCAGCAAGAAGTCTTTGATGTTGTACTTCAAAGCGAGTGAAATAAGTCGTGTCGATTCAAGTGAGTAGCAGTTGTGCTGGAGATTGCGAACAGCATAGTCACGAGCATCTTTGCAAAGATACATGTCGCTCAGCTCCAGTAGTTGAATGACAGTGTCGTTAGGTATCTTGAGGGCATCAGGCCTCCATCTGCATGGTATCAGATGTGAGCTCATTATGAAACAAACTCAGGCTCACTTATTGTAACAGATAGAAAGAAACAATTTGAAAGCATTTTCACTTACTTGCGACGGTACAAATATGGGTTTGTCGTCAGTGCTACCGTCGACCTCTTCAAATTGGGTGTCCTGGCTTGCAGCAAACATATCCCTAAACCCAAGTGATTTATCCCCGAGGATGCTTGCATGCACCTTGAAGAGCAAGTCTCCTGCCTATTAGTACATTCAGGTTAGTCCACCATAAGGCTATGATCCATCAAGTGATGCACAAACCCGGAAGATGTGGGTGCCATCTGAGAAGTAGAACATTTGATGGCGTTGAGCAGGCATTGAACTTGAATGGCCGGTCGGACAAGTCAATTTTTGAGTAGAATATTGCATGAACACGAAGAATGGCTTAGAGGAAGAGTGAGGTGTTAGTAATAAAACCGGTCACAGAAAGTAATGCATTGGACCCAAAACACATCACCAGTGAGAATTATGCCAGCAGAACTTTTGAACAATCTATAGCTTTCTAACAAACGTCAAATAATGGATGCCGGTCCTTCAGTGCCATTGTCACTCCCACTTCTCCCTGAAACAAAAAATTGGTCTGCAGAAATCCAAGCTGCCTATGAGAGTGTCCAACGCACTTATGATCATGCCATCCGAGTTCTTCGAGCAGATGGAGCTGACCCTACCCGTATTGCATTCCACGTGGATGCTATCTTGTCAAATGCACTTCCAATCCTCGAAGCACTTGTACCAGACATTGACTCAGATGACAATCTGGAGTCTCTCCCTGTCGAATGGCTAGCTAATGTAGCCACACTACTTGGTTGTGCAGTTTCAAATCTGGAACACCTAGGAAAAACTGTAAATGAACAGTGAGTCAAATTTTTGATAGATGTATAGATACTAAGACGGGATATTTACAGAGAAGAGCATAATGTTGATATACCGGAATTAACCAGAATCGAAATCACTGGGAAATGAGGACGGCCTAAAAAAATCATAGATCTTGAATTCTTGAGGGAGGCCACCTCTTCTCAACATCAAATCAGTCATGTCGAGCTCGCGAATATCCTTGATGTTCATCCGGAAACACTACGGCGCTACATGCGTCAACACAGCATTGAAAGGTGCTATTCCAACCTTCGCGACTGTGACCTTGATGCCCTGGTGAAGTTATTCAAGTGTTGTAGACCAGAGTCCAGTTTTCGGTACCTTGTTGGCTTTCTTCGCCAACAAGGTGTTCTTGTGCAGCATAGGCGAATATGGCAATCGCTACGACGAGTTGACAGAATTGGACACCACTTCCAACACCAACAAATTATTTGAAGACGGAAATATAGAGTAAAATGTTCCAATGCTCTCTGGCATTTGGACGGGCACCATAAACTGATCCAGTGGGGGGTTGTTGTTCATGGATTCATTGACGGCTACTGCAGAACAGTATGTAACTGTCATTCAGAAATTGTTGCCAACTAATGCCTGTCCAGGTAGTTGCACTGCGAGCAAGCACAAATAATCGTGCCGCAACAGTTCTCGATTTATTTCTTGAAGCTCAAGAGGAGTATGGTATGCCATCACGTATGCGAGGTGATCGTGGTGGTGAAAATATTGATGTTGCTACTTATATGGTCATGCGAAATGGCCCAAATCGTGGCTCTTTTATGTGGGGATCGTAAGCCTTCATATTGTCAAATGACTGATTGGGTGTCGTGCTCACACAAGTACTGCAGGTCTACTCGAAACTCAAGGATAGAGCGCCTCTGGGTTGAAGTAGGAACCCAGTTCGTGAGATGTTGGAGGGCATTCTTCAGTCGCTTGGAGAGATTGCATGGCCTTGATATTGAGAAAACGGGTCATTTGTGGCTCCTCCAAGGTCTATTCTTGGATGCTATCAATGATGACTGTAAGAGCTTTCGAGAAGAATGGAATCTTCATCCGATCGCTGGCCCATCAACGAACAATAAGAGCCCACAAGTAGGTAGTGATCGAGTCAAAATTGTGAACACTGACACAGCATTTATCACAGGATCTGCGACTGATAAGCCAGGCAACACTTGGCATTTACCAAGACAATTGTGAAGGAGTTCACCCAAACACAATTGAATGATACTATGGCACTCATGGGCAAGAACAGACTCATTGTCATGGACAGACTGGTGCTGGCCATCCTGACAATGAAGACACTAATTCGGAGGATCAGCTTGTCTCACAGATAGAAGAAGATCAGGAACAGAATGTTCGCCATGCTGTGATTGAAGTGCCCGGAAAGAAAAGTCCCTTCGTGACCCAGGATGATGAGAACCTTTTTTTTCAACAGTCGAGCAAATATTTGACGAGGGCATCATACCTGAAGGTTATGGCTTATTACCTGATGAGCAAGGTGATGAGGATGCAGCCATGGTTGAAGTCTTACAATTTGGGAGACGTGGAACAAAGTCTATCATAGTATCATTAAGTGACTCTGTCTGGGAAGCTCGTGCAACACTCTGGTGTCAAGGATTGTCAGCATTATCTTTGTTCGAAACTGAAAGATACTTTTAGCTAAACGTAGTACATGAAATATGCTCAAAAATATGCTTAAAATTTGGCTAGAGACTTACAGTCAATAACCAAGACAAAATTCTTCCATAAAGCACATCTATTTGTTCTTCCGAGCCATCTCCACTTCATCTCATACATTGCTATGTCCGACCGCCACGAAAAGTACTGCCAAGACTTTCGTGAAGGAGGGCAAGCCTGCACCTGCGAGTGCTTCACCCCACCCTCCAACCCCAATGCTCCTTACTACTGCCGAGAATGCCAGCACGGGTTTAGCAAACATCCCGAGGCACTAAATTCCACTTCGCAAGGTGCACCTCGAAGGCAAGATGGCACAGAACTGTCCGGAAAAAACAGGCTGGTCAACATATTCAAGCAAAAAACCAGCTTGGGGTCTGCAGCGAGATCCTTGCCAACTGCTACCTCATCCAAAAACGTACTTGACCAGGCAATGGATGTTGAGCAAGCCTCGGTAGTCAGAGATGAAGTCATGAAAGGCTTCAGGGCTGGTGTACACTTACAAAACAGCAAGGTCAATAAGGTGCGAAGCACATTATACATGATCGTGATACTTACAAGTCAGACTCGGAGCAGTTGCAATCTCGTCGGGTTCCTAGTAGTAGGGCAAGGGCTGCATCATCAAGTCAATTTGATGTAGATGGGGATAAAATCGCAAAGGTTGCATCATGGCTTCTTTTGGTGAATTGCCTTGATGTGAATATCTCTCTCTTTTTTTACACAAGAAAAAACTAACAGAATATGTTGAAGGACGATGGTAATCTCAAGAGCACGAGTCCACCATCACGGACACAGTTGCACAACATGGAACATCGTCGATGTGCACATATCAAGACCGCTAACAAATTTTCGTTCAATCGAACATGGACTCATGATGAGGTTCATCAGTACCTGCAAAATGAAGTGTTTCCATTGGCATTTGAATATGTCAATTCAAAAGAAAAGGGGAAAGGAATTGGCATACCTTCTTGCCCATGGGTTTTAATAAGCAAGGAGAGGAGCCCCTTCAGTGAATTCACCCGTCTCAGACGGGCAGCCGGGCGTGACAATGTACCAATAGAGACGGGCCACCTGGTGCCGGCCCATGGCAATAATTGTACCGTGTTAGACGAGTGGGCCGAGGGGGTGGAGTGTCCAAGGCAAACGGATGGGCCGGGTGTATATAGTATAGATGGTAGTATAGCAATGTACTATATAGGAAATTATGAATAGTAGTAGTGAATCCAGTGTGTGATAGATGAGTGGGCCGGAGGAATGGAGTGCAATATAGACAAGTGGGCCGGGGAACTGGGGTGTGATGGAGATGAGTGGGCCGGTAAATGAGGTGCAATGGAGACGAGTGGGCCGGTACATAAGGTGCAATGAAGACGAGGGGGCCGGAGAATAGGGTGCAATTGAGACGAGTGGGCCGGTATAGCAGGTGCAATGGAGATGGGTGGGCTGGTAAATAAGGTGCAATTAAGACGAGTGGGCCGGTATAGCAGGTGCAATGGAGACGGGTGGGCCAGTATAGCAGGTGCAATAGAGACGGGTGGGCCGGTAAAGGAGGTGCAATGAGGACGAGTCGGCCGGTGTTATTGGGTGCAATGAAGACGAGTGGGCTGGTGATATGGGGTGCAATGAAGACGGGTGGGCCGGCATGATAGGGTGCAATGGAGACAGGTGGGCCGGTATTATGGGGTGCAACAACGACCGGTATTTATGTAACCGGTTGCTTGTGGTAACATAGCACTCAATCCGGCGATTCCACCGGTGGTCTGATCATGTAAAATGGTTAAGATTTGACAAAGTTATGAGCCCTACAAGGGAAAGCCATAAATTTAGAGGATATTATGATATATTGTATCTAGACCATTGCAACCGGTATTTTTTGACCGGTATTTACATGACCGGTTGCTTGTGGTAACATAGCACTCAATCCGGTGATTCCACCGGTGGTCTGACCATGTAACATAGTTAAGATTTGACAAAGTTAGGAGCCTTACAAGAGAAAGTCACAAAGTCAGAGGATATATCATATCTAGACCATTGTGACCGGGATTTTTCAACCGGTAGTTATGTGACCGGTTGCTTGTGGTGACATAGCACTCAGTCCGGTGATTCCACCGGTGGCCTGACCATGTAAAATGGTTAAGATTTGACAAAGTTATGAGTCTTACAACAAGAGAAAGTGACAATTTCAGAGGATATATCATGTCTAGACCATTGTGTCCGGTATTTATGTGACCGGTTGTTTATAGTAAAACATAGCACTCAATCTGGTGATTCCACTGGTGGTCTGACCATGTAAAATGGTTAAGATTTGACAAAGTTATGAGCCCTACAAGAGAAAGCCATAAATTTAGAGGATATTATGATGTATTGTATCTAGACCATTGCAACCGGTATTTTTTGACCGGTATTTACGTGACCGGTTGCTTGTGGTAATGTAGCACTCAATCCGGTGATTCCACCGGTGGTCTGACCATGTAAAATGGTTAAGATTTGACAAAGTTATGAGCCTTATAACAAGAGAAAGTGACAATTTCAGAGGATATATATCATGTCTAGACCATTGTGACCGGTATTTATGTGACCGGTTGTTTCTAGTAACAGTACTCAATCCGGTGATTTCACCGGTGGTCTGATCATGTAAAATGGTTAATATTTGACAAAGTTATGAGTGCTACAAGAAAAAGTCACAAATTCACTGGCAGAGGATATATGATATCTAGACCATTGTGACCGGGATTTTTCAACCGGAAGTTATGTGACCGGTTGCTTGTGGTAACATAGCACTCAATCCGGTGATTTTACCGGTGGTCTGATCATGTAAAATGGTCAAGATTTGACAAAGTCATGAGCCCTACAAGAGAAAGTCATGAATTTAGAGGATATATGATATCTACAGTATTGTGACCGGGATTTTTCAACTGGTAGTTATGTGACCAGTTGCTTGTGGTAGCATAGCACTCAATCCGGTGATTCCACCAGTGGTCTGACCATGTAAAATGGTTGATATTTGACAATGTTAGGAGCCTTACAAGAGAAAGTCACAAAGTCAGAGCATATGTGATATCTAGACCATTGTGACCGGGATTTTTCAACCGGTAGTTATGTGACCGGTTGCTTGTGGTAACATAGCATTCAATCCGGTGATTTTACCGGTGGTCTGATCATGTAAAATGGTCAAGATTTGACAAAGTCATGAGCCCTACAAGAGAAAGTCATGAATTTAGAGGATATATGATATCTAGACCATTGTGACCGGTATTTTTTGACCGGTAGTTATGTGACCGGTTGCTTGTGGTAACATAGAACTCAATCCGGCGATTTTACCGGTGGTCTGATCATGTAAAATGGTCAAGATTTGACAAAGTTATGAGCCTTACAAGAGAAAGCCACACATTCAGAGGATATGTTATATCTAGACCAGTGTGTCTCCAGCTCTACCTTAGGGTAGTTTACCTCTGTTCCATTTCTACTCCAGACTTGTCCACAGCAGTCTTACTCTGGGTTTCCTTGAACCTCTGGAGTTCCGCCGAACTCCCCTAGTGTCTGACCTCCGGAAACCTCTGGACTTTGTTGGACTTCCCTCCTGCCTCTCATAAATTAAGGGCACATACTCAGGTAAGGGGTGCAGCACACAAGCTGAAGTCAAGCCCTTTGAGTTCTCCTTCCTTTGAGCATGACCTTAACATCCACAGACCAAACCTTGTGATGCTGTGTACTCACCCTCTCCTGGTGGTCCATCCTCTGGGAAAGGTTTTCCTACAGGAACACAGCTGCAGAATGATATGGGGACCATTCCTAGACAGATTTAGAGTATGTACACCAGGTTGGTACATCAGGATACCTACAGAATCCTTCTATACAGGCTAAAACTTCTAAGATTGCAGTTGTCACATTTTTGGTGTTTTCCCCTACTTTACCATTGCATAAATGATCCAGACTACTCATATATTATCCTTACTACATATATACCTACTTCTCATCCCAAGGATCAGTTAGAAATATGGTATAATATTGTTATCTAAGGGAAAGGGGGTATGTGTACTGATAAGGGGCCTACATTCTCCAATGGACACAATCTAGTAATCAGATGCTTGCAATATATTCTAAGCATGGTCAATATCATGGTCTCAGATTTATAAAAGGATCCACTAACAGTTGAGAGCTAGGGCAGTGAAATATCTCTGAAATAGAGTGTGGGAAAGTCCAAAAGCCCAAAACATCGAAACTCACCAGTTTGGTGTATATGTAGTGGTTGGACTTTTACTTACCAATCCTAATATTTCCTCACCACACTCTTCTACAAAGACTTTACCTTCAGGGCAATGTGTATTTTAGGTTCATTATGTAGTCTACTATACATACTACTGCATTTTTAATAAAATCTTTGGTGTGTGTGATATGTGTCAGTGACTTTCAGTGACAGGGGTAAATTGTCATATGTCAAGCCTATGTTGTTTTACTTATCTTACCGTCAATACTTGAGGGATCTTTCCAGAATTTTAGGACCATGACTAGGGATATACATGGGACATATCCCAAGTGTCTGATTACCAATAACATCCTTGATAGTGTTGGAGGGTTCTTATCAGTTATGTTTTCATGTATATATGCTATATTGTTTGATGTAGCCCTTCAGGGGGTCAACTAAGTGGTGGAATATGTTAATATATACTCCTAAATATGTTTTGACAGTGCTAGAACACTCTCCTATCAAAGGGGCAAAATGGAATCCCCTGATTGAGTGCTACATTACCACAAGCAACCGGTTGCAAAAATACTGATTACAATGGTCCAGATATAAGCTGATACAACACTGTATCCTTTGAATTTATGACTTGGTCTTATAAGGCTCAGAACTTTGTCAAATCTTAACCATTTCACATGATCAGACTACCGGTGGAATCACCAGATTGAGTACTATATTACTGCAAGCAACTGTTCACAAAAATACCGGTCACAATGGTCTAGATATAACATCCTCTAAATCTGTGGCTTTATCTTGTAAGGCTCATAAGTTTGTCAGATCTTAATGATTTTGCATGGTCAGACCACCGGTGGAATCACCGGATTGAGTGCTATGTTACCACAAGCAACCGGTCACATAAATACCGGTCAAAAAATACCAGTTACAATGGTCTAGATACAATATATCATAATATCCTCTGAATGTGTGGCTTTCTCTTGTAAGGCTCATAACTTTGTCAAATCTTGACCATTTTACATGATCAGACCACCGGTAAAATCACCGGATTGAGTGCTATGTTACCACAAGCAACCGGTCACATAACTACCGGTCAAAAAATACCGGTCACAATGGTCTAGATATCATATATCCTCTAAATTCATGACTTTCTCTTGCAGGGCTCATGACTTTGTCAAATCTTGACCATTTTACATGATCAGACCACCGGTAAAATCGCTGGATTGAGTGCTATGTTACCACAAGCAACCGGTCACATAACTTCCGGTTGAAAAATCCCGGTCACAATGGTCTAGATATCATATATCCTCTGCCAGTGAATTTGTGACTTTTTCTTGTAGCACTCATAACTTTGTCAAATATTAACCATTTTACATGATCGGACCACCGGTGAAATCACCGGATTGAGTGCTACATTACCACAAGCAACCGGTCACGTAAATACCGGTCAAAAAATACCGGTTGCAATGGTCTAGATACAATACATCATAATATCCTCTAAATTTATGGCTTTCTCTTGTAGGGCTCATAACTTTGTCAAATCTTAACCATTTTACATGGTCAGACCACCAGTGGAATCACCAGATTGAGTGCTATGTTTTACTATAAACAACCGGTCACATAAATACCGGACACAATGGTCTAGACATGATATATCCTCTGAAATTGTCACTTTCTCTTGTTGTAAGACTCATAACTTTGTCAAATCTTAACCATTTTACATGGTCAGGCCACCGGTGGAATCACCGGACTGAGTGCTATGTCACCACAAGCAACCGGTCACATAACTACCGGTTGAAAAATCCCGGTCACAATGGTCTAGATATGATATATCCTCTGACTTTGTGACTTTCTCTTGTAAGGCTCCTAACTTTGTCAAATCTTAACTATGTTACATGGTCAGACCACCGGTGGAATCACCGGATTGAGTGCTATGTTACCACAAGCAACCGGTCATGTAAATACCGGTCAAAAAATACCGGTTGCAATGGTCTAGATACAATATATCATAATATCC